TGCACTATGTTAGCAACGGGACAGGATCCAATGTGGCTTCTAGGGGATGCAGAGACGCGAACCCAAAAAGAAGGCAAGAGGTTCGCCAACGAGGGATGGGACGAAGTTAGTAGCAGAGTTGTGATGGGGGCATGAAAGAAACTCAAACCTCTCGGCCTACGAACAACGGCGTGGGTGCCCGAGTTCGTGGCCGAGTGGTTTGGGGGTTTCAAGCACATCATAGACGTGGTCGAATCCATGAAAGAAGTACACATAGAGTGTGCCTGGCTGACGGAGGAATTCTATAGGATTTCATTAAAATATGGGTCATTCTACGCAGATAAAGTCGGGGAAGTCCTCACCGTCCTGAGGATAGGCAAGTATGACCGCCCAGATGTAGACGCGGAGGCTTGGGATGCCATAGTTAGCCGGGAGGCGGCGGCCGCTCCATCCTACGTGGATGATGTCTTTAAACTGTTTGAGGTACTGTGGACCAGAATATTGAACGCCGCAGGAAGGTCGGAGTATGGAGGACGCATGTAAACTAGGGTGTAATATAAGAAAAGGGGGGGCATGTACGTTAGCTTAGCACATCATGCTAGGGGATTGAAATAAGGGAAGGTGTCCGGCCATTGCGGGCACAGATGTGAAACGCATGGCAGAGAAGAGAAAAGGGGGCATAAGCGGGAAAGGAAACAGTAGGAAGATGGACAGTTGCTGAAGAACGAGCTCTAATCCTTTTTATGTGAACTATGCAGGAAATTACCGAAAACAGTAATGGCTGCAAGACGTGTGCGGACGAAACGCAGCCCCGGTACCCCGGACCGCCCTGGAATAACGGCGGAAGATGGGAAGTGTCCCTTCCGTCAAATTCCAACTTTTGGGGATTCGACGTGGAATGGCGGGCCGTGACTCTAGGGAGAGACAACGCCTTCATGTTGGTGGAATGTCGGTGGATGGGGATGAGACTCAACCGGGGACCTCGGGATGACCTGTTTTCCAATTTAGAGGTAACCGGGGTTCTGTACCTACCCGAGGCTGGCTGACACTTGCTGGGGATAGGAATAGCGTAAGGCCACGAGCTGGCTCCGGTCTTTCAGAGGGCGGTCCAGAGGTTGACGCGGATAGGACAATCAGTCAGGGGTAGAAGAAACGTGGACTTACTTACCAGGGTGGAAATGAGAGGTTGGAGGGAATTCAGGGCACCGACCACACCGCTGAGGTGCCGGGTCCCCCGATTTATGATAGACCTCATCTTCGGGAGCCTCGCGAGGGCGCAGGAGTTGGCAGACTCGACAATAATCTGGGTAGACCACTTCCCCTATCACACCATCGAGATGTTCTATTACGTTGCTGTGAAACATGGGCCGTTCTGGGGAAACAGGGCACATGAATTACTGGAAGTTATCCATATCCTGATATTTGGGTTTCCACGGCTAGCCTGGGCAGATTACGAACACATAATTCAAAGGGAAATCGACATAGGAGAGAGTTATCTAGCAGGGGTGGCTCAACTATTTGAGGAGCCTACCGAACCGGAAGGGCCACGAGGGCGAGAACGGGACTAGCGTCCGGGGGCGGGCCAATAGGGCAAATCAAGTATAGTCCGCTACGTACAGGGGCTCACCGATGGAAATATGGAGGGACCTTTGGACCCGGATGATAAAAAAACATTAGAGAATAAAAAGGAGAGGGTAGACTCCTCATGCTTGCCATGACCCTCAATGTCGAAAAGGGGAATACTTCTCTGGAGGCTTCCTTAGCAGGATGGCTAACCAGGATTCCTACGCGCCGGCCCGACGGAACAGAAACACTCTAAACGAGTCTCTGATAAAGGAAACAAAGTCATGTCCCTCAGCTCGATAGGGCGGCAGGGCGGGTTGCGGCTCCTTCTTAGGGAAGCAATCGCGAAACGGAAATGAGGAGAAGTCTATTATCCAAATAAAGATAAGCCAACGAAGCCGGAACCTATGAAACCTAAACACCTCGCGCTGCGTGTGTACTGGGGAATTCCTTTGGCTTACTCAGAACTAGGCAAAATGGCAACGGAGGATGAGACGGATAACCGTATGAGCGAAGGAGGAACAGGCTTAGGAGGCAGTGCCATGCAAAGCGAAGAAGGTCAGAAAGACAGAGAATCGATAAATCCAGATGGTACCAAAGGGAACCGGAAGGAAATTTCCTCAGGGAAAAGCTCGGGGAAGGCCGGGGGAAGCAGGCAAGGGACTCAGGAGACCAAGGAGGGCAAAAATAAGGATAGGACACGCGCCCGAAATTCAGAGGGAGTTGTGTCTAAGAAAGTAAGGGTCACGGATGCGAGACGCAAGCTAATGGAGATAGAAAAAAGGACCGCAGAGTACAAGGCAAGATTGATTGAGGAAATGATGACTGGGAACGAAGAAGACTCTCTGTAGGAGAAACCGCGGGACGAACGGAAAACCGGCCGGAGCGGAATTGGGCAAGGGGATAAGGGTAGTGACCGTGGGGGAACACCGAGCAAAAGAAGGAAGGAGAGAGAAAACTCCTCGGGGATGGAGGCAGAGAAAACTATGAACCCACCAGGCATAGATAGCAGGGCTAGCCGTCTGCCGACCACGCCAGCGGTAACACGGGGATGTGAAGGACTCTGGAGCCTTAGGGAAAGGGTGTTGGGATAGTTCGGCCTCGAAGGAACTGCAAAGACTAGGGAGGGACAAAAGGCCGACAAGGAAGGGCAGGATACCAGTATGGCGGGCGAGGCCAGTAGCTCCGAAGGCGGCCTTAGGAAGATAGTATCGTCCCTCGCGCGAGCACTGAAAAAAAAACAAGGCTACCTAGCGGACGCTAAAAAAAAGTGGACGTTTGACCTGACGAACATCACATAATTCCTAATAGATTACGAGAATCTGACCGCGTTGTTGAAATGGACCGAAGAAGAAAAGATGGACCACCTGGGGCAGCATGTGTCTTTGAGCTTGGGGCGGGACATAATGACCATCGTAACCGTGAGTCGATCCTGGAAGGAAACCCGGGATGTGATGATGAGGAAATACCTGGCAGCGGAGAAAATGGCTACGGAGGCCGATTTAGCGGCAATTCTGAGGAAGAACTTTGCAACGTACAATGACTTCCTACGAGAGTTTACTCTGGTAGCACTAAGGATCCCCGGGTTCACGAGCCGGATAATGAGCAAATACTTCCTCAGGCAGTTCTCCGAGTTCCACAAAGACAAGATTCTGTCGGCTTACCAACAGACGAGCAAGTTAGTAAACACCAGGGATGTTGATTTTAGCACAGTAACGGATCTGGCCGATAAGACAGTAGTAACCGAAACATTTGGCCTTGCTCAAGGAAGGAGAGGTCATAGATCTGATTGGTAGGACAGGCGCCAAGGTAAAAAAAAGGATTGAAAGTCTACATGAACGGGTGCACAGAGTCGACAACAAGATTGAAAGAGTGGAGAACGCGCTGTCGCACGCGGCGGTCCCCCACCCCGTTGAGGAGCGCTGAACCTCACAGTCGTGTCACGCAGGATTTATTTATGAAAAAAACCGGTCACCTCTCCGACCGTGTGCGCGTGCTATACCTCTCACGACACCCCACGACATGTCAGGGAGCTGCGAGGTACAAATTACCTCTACCCGAGGGGCTTTCACCACCCTCAGGTAGGCATATTCCTGTCGAGCTACCGGCCCACATGCAAAGGCTTTTACATGCCTTTGTAGAGGTAGGTCGGCCGAGGGCGTTTGCTCGATCGCTGTAGCATAAAATGGGATACGCGCAGTAAGACGCCTATAATTGACCCGTTAGATATTCAGGTCTAATTTTTAAAAGGTTGTCTATCTCCGCTACTGCGTAATGTATTATTCTTCTTGACAAATATTAATTAACTTGTCTTTCTACCAAAGAGCGTCCTATCTTTCTTAACACGTTAGGACTTAACTGAACATCAGGATAATATGGAAGTTAAATTGGACATATAATGAATATAGAAGTATTGCCGCCGAGAACCCTTCACACTTTCACAAGTGCTGTGTGTCCGAGACTCTTCAACTGACCACGTCCAGTTCAATTCCAAAAATCACGCACAAATCAGACCTGCATAGAATAATGCAAAGACAGTTCACATGCCATGCACTAACGGCGTCAACCACCAACCATTGACCTTGTCCCTCACTTCCCAAACCATGTTTGACAGCCTTGTCTTTCCTGAGACGTAAGCCCAACCCCCTCACATTTCTACAAAGGACCCTTGAGAGTGACCAAGACCATTTAGGCAATGACCACAGGTGACAGTTTTACCGACCACAGGGTTTGTCTTTAGAGACGGGTATCAAGTCAGAAGGAGAAAGTTGAATCGGTAACAACCGACCTGTTATCGTAAGATAACGGAAATCTGGGTCCTCTTTGTGGAACCTCTTCCCTGAAATGCAGTACATGAACAGGGACCTGTACACACACATGTCAACAAAGATTCAACACCCCCAATCGATTCCCACATATTGATATCTAAGGGTCAAACCCTTAGACATGGGTAATGAGCTCTGGGATCGACATTCCAGGTCTAATCCCTAGTTATACTCTCACAACCCTACCCTAAACCGTCTGTCACTCTCTCCTTTCTCTAAAGGAGTTTCATGCCTGTGTCATAAGTCGTCTTAAGGAAACTCATATTTCCCTCTACTCTCAGTCCTTGCGTTTTCTCTCTTGGGGATAAGCGCACCGTTTGGCGCTTATGTAGACGAGATGTAACTCTTTCATCGTTGTGACCTTCCATCCGAAAGTCATGGACGACCATGAACTACGCGGTGGTTCTTAAGTTTCTTTCTTCAGCGGTCCTATCTTCTTTCCTTGTTCCTTTAGCTAGATATATGAAGACCTTCCTCCATCAGGAGCATTGTTCCTTCCTTTCTCTGCTATTTGTGTTAACACACTCAAGTAGTAGGCCGATTCAAACATGAATCTCTTACTACTTGACCAATACTAAGCAATCTGTAAGTCACACCAATTTCTCGGTGCGCTGGTGGTGCAACTTGTTCCTGGACTTTGTCTGCACTAGAACCCAAGTGCTCCAGTTCCTCTCAGCCGGAGAGGAAGTCGTCTAAATGGAAAGCACCTTCAGCGCCAACTCCCGGATCTCTGGATGGCCTGCACCATGCGCCTCCCACCACAGCACCRCATTGTCCTTCTCAACCCGTTTCTTTGCCTGCGGGGTGCTGAAGAGTCGAAGACTCCTCTCCCAAACTGGAACTCGTATAACTGGTCCATGCAGTCGTCAAATCTCGAGCTCCCCTTCTTCCCGATGAGCCGCTCCACAACGCTCTCGAACTGTGCCATGCGGTCGACATTACTAAAAACAGTAATGTCCCTCAACATAGGATTCAGCAGCCGAGCAACGGCGTGGATGGGGATGAGCAACATGTCGGTCCTGTTGCCGACATCCCTCATAAAGTCTTCTCGCTGGTCCGCGGTGAGGGGGGTCGAGCGAACAAAGTCGGGCAACCGACACACCAAATCATAGAATGTGATGCGTGACAAGCAGTGAACATTTTTGTCCACCTCTCGCAACACATTATAAGGCCTCTTCATGACGACAGTCAGCTTCTTGACCTCAACCCAAAATGCTTTGTCAAGAACTGTTTCCTCCACGAAGTCGGCTTTCGCCCTGATATCCCCTCGCCACAACATGGTCTCCCAGCCGTATCCAGTGACGATACGCACAATGACCCTCTCACACACCTCAAGTCGCTGCAGCATCACATAGTTCGTCCCGAACCTTGTCTGAGAAGGCCGAAGGAGGCAGGTGCAATTCAAGTCGGGGTACTTCAACAGTTGTGTCCTCAACTGAGACCGAGGCCATCTGTGAACCCGGAAGAAGTTCACTACTTTGTTGGCCTTGGTGATGATGTCATCCGCCCACTCCTTCTTGCCTATATCGTGCATGAGGAGGTCCATGCAATGAGCTGTGCAAGGGATCCAATAGATCTGTCTGAACTCGGGGTCCTCGCTCAACATCCTCGCGACACTCAAATTCTCGGCGAAAGAATCAGTGCCTATCGCCGTGATCTTCTCCACCCCCCACTATTTGAAGAACCGCTTCCACCCGGCAACGACAGCAATGGAGTTCTTGTCTCCCTTGCTCACATCCTCGCACTTCACAAAAACAGGTTTTGATCGGCCTGCAAAAATGTAGTTCATAAGTGATCGCCCACAAACGTTTGTGGTGCCATAAGTTATGAACGTGCAGCTAGTCACCTGCCAGTCCTCACGGACCGCCTGCTCCTCATCCACCAACCTTTTGTTCAAACGATCGAGCAGGCGACACCTGAGTGGGTTGTACCCAGTGGGCACGAGAGGATGACTCCCTACAGGCTGTGGCCTGATACACGTCAGCATGAACTTCTTGAAGCTCCTGCTTCTAGCGGCGTTGAATGGGGATCGCGTTCTCCACGAAGAACTCGCAGCAGGAGTCATCCATGTCCTCCTGCCTCGGGTTCTTCGCAAACCTCCTGATGCTCATCTGCTTCACCGGGCCACGTGTGCGCGCCCCCTGCAACACGGCCTGCGAGGAACCAGCCCTCCCTGCAGTAGCAAGGCCACCTGTCACAACACCCCTCGTCCCCTCATCCTCAGCGATGTCAACCTCCCCGGTGTCCCCGCCAAGTGCCTCCCCGGGATCCTCATCAATCCCACCTTCACCCCCTTCTCCTCCACCCAGAACAGGAGTGTCCTCCTCGTCACTCTTCTCCATCTCCAACACTCGCTGCACCCTCTCATGCAGGTCTGGTGGCAACTGTACACCTATGCCATGCAGCCTCCTCCAAATGGATAGGTTTGAATATGGACACCTGGCAGACGCCCTCGCCAGAATGAAGTGCTCCCACGCACGCTTCCGATTCCCGGAGTACTCCTTGTTGCAGAGTTTGCATCGCAGTCTTCTCGACCCACGAGCATTGCCCGATAGCATCTGGCCAAGAGTGACCCAAGTCCACACGACGTGGTCCCTGTTGTAGGTCATGTCCTCCCAGAACGGGGCCCGTTGCTCCCGTGCCATGACAGTGGTGATGTTGGAGAGTCAGTGCAGGCGAGTTGCTGAAGTTGCAAGTGCGGACGTGGCAGATAGTGGCGCGGGAGCTGGCGACGTGGCAAGTGTCGTGCCAGATGTGGACGTGGCAGATGCTAACGCGGCTGCTGCTAAAGCGGTTGCTCCTCACGTGGCTGCTCCTGTCGTGGTGGCCGGTGACGTGGCAGGCACAGACGAAACATCAGCTGACGTGGCAGATGCTAACGATGCACCTGCGAGAACAAGGAGAAGAAGAGATGCCAATTTCTAGAGAGAAAAAAAAAAACTTAAAAAGGAAAAAAAAATGCGGAGGAGGGGGAGGACGAGGGAGGGGGGAGGAGGCGGCGATGGAGGAGGAGGAGAGGAAGAAGAAGAGGAAAAAGAAGAAAAACTGTGTGTGTGTGTGAGAGAGAGACCGGGGAAAGACGAGGAGAGAGAGGGGGAGAACAAGGGAGGGGGAGGAAGAAGAAGAAGAAGAAGAAGAAGAAAGGTGTGTGTGTGTGTGTGTGTGTGTGTGTGAGAGAGAGAGAGAGAGAGAGAGAGAGA